AGAGCGTGGAGTGGCTGCAGGAGGAACTGGAGTCCAGCGGGGGCAGCTCGCTGCTGCTCCTCGACTGCCGTCCCCATGAGCTCTTCGAGTCGTCGCACATCGAGACCGCCATCAACTTGGCCATCCCGGGCCTGATGCTCCGGCGCCTTAAGAAGGGCAACTTGCCCATCCGCTCCATCATCCCCAACAACGAAGACAAGGAACGCTTCGTCAAGCGCTGCAAGGCGGACACGGTCTTGCTGTACGACGAGGCCACGGCCGAGTGGCAGCAGGACACGGGCGCCCCGACCTCCGTCCTCGGCCTTTTGCTACAGAAGCTACGCGACGACGGCTGCAAGGCGTTTTACCTGAAAGGTAAGCTGGGGGGGACGGGTGGGGGGGGCACGGAAGCGCCGCTAAGAGCCTCCCCACCAGATAGCCAGCAGCAGGATTTAGACGACCCCCCCCCCCCGAGAAGCGGCAGCCGGTCGCGGGGTCTTTTGCTCCCCGTCGAAGCAACTGGCGCGCTTCCCGCCTAAGCCGTTCCTCCCGTCCCGCTTGATCTGTCATGATCTCCACGTTTCCTGGGTCCTGGGATCTCTTTTCACTGCTGCCGCCATGGCATGCCAGAGCTCCAAATCTTAGCGCTTTCTTTCCCCACTTCCTGAACATTCTTTTTCCGGTTGGGGGGGGGGGGGGCGCGGACTGCTGCTTCTAAGCAATCACCCCCCCCAACTTAAAATAAGGGTATTTTCATCATTTTAAAACAAAGCAGGGTTTCCAAAGGGGATTATGCTGGGGGTGGGGGGTGGCCGAAGGATTATGCTCTTCCAGTAATCTCCCGTGGTTGGTGTTGCTGTGTGTGTCCGAGCATTTTAATGCAGAATGGTTCCATGTGCTGAGACATTTGACCACTGTGCCTGGGATATGTTCTTACATTTCCCCCCTCTTTGGTAGAATTCTCTGCCCCGTAAAGTGGGAAGTGTTATTCCCTCCTACTTCAGTTCTTCTTAAAAAAAGGGTATATTCCTGTCAGATTAGTCTCTGTCTCTGAATAGGGAATTTTCAGACCATAAAACGGGTATCCTTTCAGGAATCTGGTTTGTGAGAATTCTGTATCTGTTTATGGCTAGCATTTCTGTTCTCTGCCTCTCACTGTATCTGATTTATCACCACCACACTTTAAAGAGGATTTCTGCTCAACTGCCTGTTTCTGATTCCCCCCTCCCCCAATTGCCCCCTTAACAGATCTTCAAAATTTTGGGGGGCAGGGGGAGGGTGGAATGGGAAGGCATCTGAAGCCTGGTTCTTGTGTAGTGGCCCAGTTGGCCAACACCCTTTAAAGAGGATTTCTGCTCAACTGTCTGTTTCTCATTCCCCCCTCCCCCAATTGCCCTCTTAACAGATCTTCAAAAAATTTTGGGGGAGGGTGGAATGGGAAGGCATCTGAAGCCTGGTTCTTGTGTAGTGGCCCAGTTGGCCAACATGCAGTTTTTAGGCATGAGAACAGTTGCTGTGATTGATATTTAGGGGTGGGCATACTGATCCCTTGGGGCTTGTCTGTCATTCTTAAAACCCCAATCTGATTGATGACTAGTCTCCGCAGCTGCAGGTGCTTCCAGCTGTGGATGGGAGAGATGGGGTGGCTGGCCTTGCCTCTGGCCAAGAGGTTGTGCTAGATGACCTCTCTGGTCCATTCTGGGTTCTGTGTTTCCTTTTCAGATCTCTGAATGAAATGCATTTGAATGGGGATCTCAATTCATTAAATTCCCCATTCAGATCTAGAATGGTTTCCTCTGAAAGGGCATTGCTGTGAGTGAGGCTACCCAGGAGAGCAAGGATAAGCTTTGCTCTCCTCATCACACAACAGCCACTATGGTCACTGGGTGGCAGGGTTGAGGCAGAAATGGCAGGCGACACTGAATCAAAATGATCCCTTTCAATAAAATCTGTCTTTTAAAAAACACACAAAAAACATGGGATTTCCTTAGTGGAGGGAGGAGCAAGACTTTTGGGCAGTGTAAGGGCTCTAGAGAAGGGATTAAACGGTTCCTACATGTTCTGGGATCTTTTCTTTCCTACCATTGCCTCCTTAGGAGCTGAATTAAAGCTACCTTTCAGTTTCTTGAGTTATTCTTGACTAAGGGCATTGCTCAGCTTTTTTGTCCCTCAGTAGTTTATTTCTTCTTCTTTTTGAGGAGTACAGTATTTAACCTTGATTTTATAGTTAATCTCTCTCACCCCTTCTGTAGTTCTTAATTTATATGTAATAGAAGAAAGAGGAGTTAAAACTGCTGTGTTTCTCTCCCTTTTCTCTTCTGGGGCCTCAGTGGGAAATGTTTCCAATTAAAATTCCAAAATGGCTTCTCCATATTGTCTTTCTCTTTGAGGAGAGGGGAAAAGGGAACCTGTTTTTTTCTTCATGAATGAATATGGCAGGGGCTGAGTACTCTGTTTGGTGACCTTACTGCAGCTATGCCAAGCTCCTTAAATTTCCAGGAGACTTTTATAATGGTACTGTTTATCAGATTTAGATAATTATGGTTAAATGCCCATTAGTGTACATTAAAGAGAAAGTAACTTTCCTTTTTCCTAACTGCTAAATAATAAAAAAGAATAATTAGTAAGAGGAATTGTTTCTGGTCCTGGCTGCACATCAGCAAAACCTTGAATTTACTTAAAATGGAAGCAAATGCCTCAGTTCACACATGGGCATTTTTTAAACTGACAGTTGTGATATTGCAGCTCATGTAGCACAGTACTCAAATATTCTGATTTTAAAACTGGAAGTTTGATTGTCCCATTCTCTTCAACTTTCTCCCCAGCACTATTATTTTGTTGCCCAACATGTGGGGAAGGTGCTGTCTCTGCAAGTAGCTCCAAATATATTTGTCTGTGAGAATCTGTCAGGTATTTAGTTCTTTTCAGGATACTTGTCACCCTATCAAAAGCTAAACTGACTCTCAGTAATATCAGTGTGAAATTAACTCGAACCCTCTTGTTCTTGAGACAGCTCTGGGCTTCTACCTTCTTCAGGCCCAGTGGCTCCTACATTTCTAGCAGTTGTATGAGGGAGTCATTCAACAGGTGACACTTTCCCATCATTGCACCTCTATGCTGGAAAGCACTGATTTTCTGCCAGTTACATGTTTGTTGAAGGCACGGAAGCCCTGCTAAAAGAGACAGGAAAAGATTGCAATGTCAACTGTACTCATTCACATTCTTACTGTCAGTTTTATTCACAAATCAAGCTGTGTCACACATGTCAAATCTGGGTCTATGGATTCCTGCTTCAGAAGCAGGTAATCATAGAAACTGATTACTGTTTCTGGACTATACTACTTCAGCTTCAGGGAGTATATGTGTGTGAATGTTTGAATGT